TTTTTTTTTTTTTTTTCTTTGGATGGCACCAAATATTCTTGTCATAATCGGAAACTGAAAGTGAAAGGATATAGACAAAGATTATTTCGTACGATTTACAGGACAGAGGAACAATGACGGTGATAATAATGATGATGACGGCGATGACGATGACAACGAGATGGCCAGTCACCATAATCGTCGCTCTGTAGGTTAAAAAAGCGACAACGACAACGATGGTGACGACAGCTGACGCGACCAACAACAACAGTAACAGCGACGAAAACGACAATCGGCAGCGACGATCCTCGTCGTTGTTGCCGTTTTCATTGTCGCCATCGTCGTCGGCATCGTTTATTCTACCCATCTAACCGTCCAGACGAAATCGACAACTCAATTTTGTTAAGAAAGAAAATTCCTCTTTTGAAAAATCAAAATTGCCCTCAAAAATAAGTCGAATATTACCCATTCAATTTTGTTTCGGTTATAATTTATCTCCTCAATTTCTTAATATCCAAAACAAATCATTATGACAGCAAATTAAAAATTATAATATTTCTTTTATTTTTCAAATTATCAAACATCAATCTGTCTTTTTTTTTCTGCAATAAAATAAGAAACAAAAAAATTTGAATAGTATTTTTACTGATAAAGAAATTTTGTTTACAATCTTTGCCAAAATTCTTCTGCATCATTAAAATTCAAAATCTTTTTCTGAGTAAAAATTTCATTTTTTTTTTCTCAATTTTTTTTCTTTTGTAAAACTAATCTACACCGATTAACTGCAGTAAAAGTGGATCAGCCGGATAGGAAAACAAAACAGCAATAGCGACTTAGAAAATTTGAAATAAATAGTTCAGAAATAATGGCAGTATTTTTGTTGAACTTTTTGCTTTACTGCATAGAGAATAAGGTTCTTTTTTGAAAGAAGCTACAGCAGGAACATGAGAAAATTTAAAAAGATTAAAACTAGTAAGGAGAACAAATGACAATAATGGCACTAATGAAACCTGTACGGCTATCAAGATGAGGAAGAACAGAGATAAAAATAAGAAGAAAAAAAGACGGGTGAGCAAGTTTAAAATTATCACAGTCATAAATGGTTTAAGACGAAAGGAAAGAGTTTTCCGTTAGTGTTCTTTCTTTTGCTTTTGGTTTTTTTTACTAAATAAGAGAACTTTCGTTTGCATAACGGTTCACAATTTTGATAAATGCCAAAAAAGGTTAAGACAACAGTAATAGCAGTGACAATAAATTGTTAGCACACTGATAAACTGATAAAAAAAAAAGAGCAGAAATAATGCACTCGTTTAAAAGTTTTGTGGATTATAGAAAATGATATAAGTTTATTATTTATTTGTACTATTCATATACATACGGCTAATAAAATGCAAATAAGGTGTTTGCACTGGCAAACCCTTAGCACTTAGAAACTAGCAAAAATTGAACTCTGTGGTTCGTTGCTCGACAGGTTACGTCAACTAAACCGGAATAATTGTTGGCTGTAAACCGGTCTTAAAAATAACCTTCAAAAAAGAATAAAAGTAAAAAAAAACAAAAACGAAAATCTCTTCGAAAAAAAAACATTCTTTCTTAATTCTGCTGATGATCCTGTAGCGGCAAAAAAAAAAAATTTTGTTGAAATTGCCGAAGCACAGTATACGTCCAGTACAAATGTCTACCAAATTGCTTTTTTTTTTCTCGTATCTATTCAACTGTCTCATCTTGTGTGAACTTTTTTTTTTCTTTTTGCTATTAGACAGATAAAAAGCTTTGAAAAAAAAAATAAAGAAGCAAAAAAATTATAAAAACCTACAAAGAAACATTGAAAGTGGTTGAGAGCGCTATATGAAAGGAAACCGAGCAAAACTGTGTCAAGGACAATAGATCCTTATTTTCAGATGTCCGTCCATCTCTAAGTCCACTTTGTTTCTAGCAGCGCTACAAATCTATCATTTTTTTTCGTAAAATAAGACAGAGAGAAGAAGAGGAATAGAAAAAAACATTTATAGAAAAATATATCAAAAAAAAGATTCTTACAAATCTAGCTAATTGTCTTTGTTTTATCCAGTCTAAATCGAATTCGACAGTTTGGTGAAACAATCAGAACGATGTCGTCAAAGAGCAACGATAGATGTACAAACGTCTGTATCTGCCTGTTACCGACCTTCCACCAGACAGGATACAGCTAAACAGATTTACTACTACTACTACTACTACTCCTACTACTACTACTACTACTCCTACTACTGCTACTACTACTACTACTACTACTACTCCTACTACTGCTACTACTACTACTACTACTACTACTACTACTGTTGCTGCTGGTGTCATTGCCTTCACTGCTGCTTACAGATAACAACAGTTTTCTATTAAAGAAGCAGTTTATTAGCTGAGCTATATTCTTTTTTGGTTATCCTCAACAGTTCATTTTTGATAACAAATTTCTTTCATTGATAAAAATATCAAATTATGCAGAAAAAAACTAATTATTTT